CTTTGTACAGCCAACGCTCTGCCACGTAAAGCCTCGGCGTGCCTTCGTAGCTCAATCTGGAGCGTTGGCTGTACAAAAGCCTTCCCTGTTGTGTAGGTTCGAATCCCACCGAGGCCGCGAGTTTTCAAAATTGTGTCAACTGACTTATTCAAATCTGCCAAACCCTTACTTAAGTTGTAACAGGACGCCTAAAAACCATACCAAGCAATAGGCAGCTACCAAATGTCAGGCCAGCCGCCCCGCCTAGACAGAACATTTTTAAACTCCACACTCTTGACGATAGGCTACCAATGCTACTAATAATGTCTTTCTTTTATCCCTTTTAAGGTGGCCGGTTTTTGACTGGATCTGCCGACTGAATTGGCAATGTGCGTGCGCTTGTGGTTCAGCTGCCCCTCTCGACCTCTCAGTCATGCTACATTCGGCCGCAGTCGTAGTGAAGTCTGTCCGCCAGTAAGTCACAATTCCAATTTAGTTCTCACAGGCACAGTAGCCGGGCCATTTTGATTAATTCACCAAAATGTAGAGGGCCAGCTTGTGGACCTCCCAGTTGCTGGCTGATATCGTGCGATACTAACAACCCGACTTCAGAAATGGGTTTTGAATTACAAAGAACTATCTGGGTTTTAATATTTACAATTACAACAAGAGGCCAAATTTTAAGTGAGCTTCTTTCCGACCGCCTGCAAAAACTACACTCGCTAAAAAATGACTATTTGCGTGGTATGCATTTCTCTCCCTGCTTCTTGTTGCCCTTATAACTGCAGTACTAGTGCCAGTTTATTGGGGGAAAGTTGTGCGAACGTCTTGAACTCCCTATTGCTAACAAGATGATAGGCAATATATGTATACCAAGACAAATTGGAAAAGGTACGACAATAACATGCTTGCGCGTTAAAACACAGCAGTTGCTAGTTAGTCGAAATAGCAATAAAACATGGCTACTCGCTTATCACGAGTAGTATGATGTAATGTAATTCCTGTGTATTTCTGTGCCTTGGTTACCATGTGGCTGGAGAATGGTGTGTTTGATGCATGTCCACTTTGCTCTTAAATGAATTCGAATGTATGATCTTCATAACATTTTTCAATCAATTTAGACCATGTTATACACGCGTTTTATATTTCCCAAAAAGTATTAATAAACGACTTGATCAGATGCTGTGTCCATAAAAATTTCACGACCTTATAAAAATTGTATAACTATAAATATATTCTAAACCTAAGGATACACTACATCAAGAGTAAAACTGGAAAATGCAATTTGCAACCGAATGAGTACAAAAGAGGTTATTTGTGTGTACGTTTGCTATAAAATATATTTTAATTCATATGGATCTTGGAAACTTATGAGAAAGTCCCCACTATTAAGATAATACTTTCTTAACGAGTGCGACTTTTGCGGACATACAGAAGGAAGCTCATTCGAAAGCTGGCATCCAGCGGTGAAATGTATTAGGACTATGTTGCGCGATAATCAGTTTGACAACCTCGTCTAAGTAATCCTTTCTAACTGTAGATATATGTCGGAATGTCGCTTACTATTTCACATGATAGGTCAGCTACTGATCGTCTGCACGTCTGCTTGTACAAATTGAGTAGCTGGGCTCGCTTCTTCTTTTTATAGTCCACTCGCCATCGATTGCGCCATTTCGGCTCTCATCTCGGCGGTTTCCGCGGCAACCGCATGTGTGCAGCGTTTTGGCTCTTCCACCTTCTCTGGCGACTCGGCCTCAAATGTTGAAGCACTGTGGACTAAAGCCATCGAGTAGGTTCTTCTTCTTCTATTTCTTCTTCTTGTCATTCTGGTGTCCAACACGATTTTCATATCTAAATATTGGTGCATCCAAAAGAAGGGAACGTCGTCCCTGTTTCTCGTCCTTTTTTGCACTAAAGCTCGGGGAAATTCATATTTCGAAAGATTTCAAATGCCCTCGATTGTATTTAACTGCAAAATCCTTGCTTGTTGTAGATGGCTGGAGCAGCTGGCGCGTGGCCACCCCATGCCCGCCGCAAGCGACTTCTCTAGCTCTGTAGGCACCGCTAGACGCGCTCTCCTTCAGGATCGTCTTCTGTGCCATCTCTTGTCCTGTCTTGTTGAACTCGACTCCGTACTTGCGGATACAGCCAGAGGTACGCCAGCAACAGACTTTGCTATTAAGACCCTGTGAAACCTCATTTGCCTGCTCATCTACAACAACATTTCAATTGTTTGTTTTACCTTATGCTCATATGCCTCTCTGGTCCACTTTCTTAGTGTTAATTATCGATCACAATCTGCTTACTACTAGTTAAAAAGCCAATATAGCGTAATTCTGTTTCCTCGTGAATGATACTAGGAATAACGTACGTTCCGTATTTGTCCTGGAGCTCATTTTGGAGCCCGCGCAGCCAGTCGCATAACGACTACTTTTAGTTTTATTAGTTTTAGTGTAGTTAAATGTTAATTTTATTAGTTTACTTTTAGTTATAGTTTTAGTTAGCTTATTTTTCAATTCAATTTAGTTTTTTAAGCGATATAATATTCCTTGTCGACTTATCGTATTGCAATATCTGTCCAAATGCATGAGAAGTTCTTGGGAATTTCAAAAAATGGAGGAAATGCCTATCTTTAATGGTTATCTTTTAATCTCTAAATCTCGATCTAGAGTCGATATTGGTTTGTAGCCTACCTGCAGGCACTTTTCGAGCAGATATGGTCTCCTAATGGTTGTGTATGTCATTTTAACTGTCGTGCGCAACTTCTCGGTTATTAAAATAATTATCCCTATTATCTCCTGCTTTTATGTGCTAAACTTTTAAATTTATTTTGTTCTTTCCCTTCCCAATCATAAAACCCCTATTAACACCGCTCTTATAAGACACAATGATAAGCCTTCCGATATCTAAGTAACTCGGCATATGATAATGTTGCACAGTGCGTTTTGAATGGCATCGTGGGGTCTTAAAACATAATTACCAACAGTTCGCGTATAAAATTAGAGAAAGGTGTGACTAGCCCTGAACTGAGTACAAGAAGGGAGCTTTGAGCTTTTTTGCATAAAATATATTGAGATTTGTAAGGGCGCCTAAAATTCCTATAAAAATGCATGCTAATTAAGTAGTCATTGTTGGCGAGTGTGGTTTTTGCAGGCGGATCGATAAGCAGTGCCTTAAAGATCCGGTGTCGTGGCATATCTGAAATAGCCTGGGATTTCGCCGCGCGTTAATTGCTCCTACAACTCTCTTACTATCCCGCGTAGCTTATATTTCTTAGCCGAAGAGGCATTTCAAAATTTTGATTAAAATTTCCTGAGATCGGCCACTGTCTGCAATTTTTGCGACGGCTTGGCACGCCTTTCCTGGGTGATGCTTCGGCGGACACTTTAATCCAACCAATAAATAGCTTGATAAAACCTTTGTCCATAAACATACAGAGGAAATTCATATCTGCTATTTGACAATTTTATCTATGATCCTCAGAAAGACCATTCGTAAATTTTACTGTTAAAAAATGTATACATGTGTACATACTACTCACTATTTTATAGTAACATTTTTCTATGTATTTTATGTCGATTATATTTGCATACAGTCTTCAGCAGGGTCTTCAAGGGCATTGCCTACTACCCTAAATATACTGAACTAACTTCTTATCGCTCTGCAGGTGACGCAGTTTCCCCTAGCCGAATGGATTTCTTGCGAAAGTTGTGGCCGCTGCTGACCAGTACACCTGTTTTTCTGCCTCCGGGTCTGCCACCTGTTCTGCCCTGGCGCTATCGCCTGGCTGTCAGCATATACTGCCTTTGGCCGCGCGATACTGTCACAGCTACGGCTACCCTGCTGCCACATGTTTCCGCACCTAATTGGGACACTTATGCCTGCTGTCCACCCCTGGCTTTCCTTCTTGACAGCCTCACGCATTGCACGGCAGTAGCATCAGCCACATACCTCCTGGTGCAGGCCGCTCTTTGTTGGAGTCTGCCAGTTCTCTTTCCGGATCATTTTATGCACCTGTCCAATCATGCCTTCCCGGTCACATATCCGAAGAAGAAGACACCTTATCCCCTCTTTGGACAGCGACACATGCACTCCATAACGCAAAGTATCCGCGGGCGACTACATAGCGCTCAACCAATCGGGCAGGGCCAGCAAGTCCTACTTGCACGTACTCTGAAGCTCCATCTCGAGGCTCTCCTCGGTTATCTTTCAGACGACAATGACAAGGAAGTCGGCGCTCTGCTAGCTAGCTTAGTCGAAGATGGGACCTGCGAGGTTGGCCTGTGCCGTCCGCGACGGTGCATTGCCTCACGCCTGCTGCTTCTACTTGCCCGAGCTCCTAACCTGTGCAGTCGCCGTGCATGTCAGCTGGAGGAAATACT